GAACATGGCACAATTTTCAACTTCCTGGTGAATGTTTACGGCCAATGCTAAGAAGGGAACCAGCCTCTGAGGGAGTTTTCAGACTAGTCGAAGATGTAATGAAATGTTTTGGATTAACAAAGTCTTCTCAACCTTGGGCTGAGTTGACAGCTTATCTTCTAAAGACACAGAAATCCACAGGTCTCTTGAGAATATCATGGTGTTTCTCCTGTCACCTATCATGGAAAGGGGTTTGATTTTTAACTCTAGGTTTTAAATTGTTGTTTACATCTGGAGACAAGCTTGGTTTGCTGGTTTCTTGATCCTCAAAACTCCTGGAACCTTTTATAGTCAACTCTTCCATTGCCAACTCAGATTGTAATGAAAAGCAGACCCAGTTTTGAAATCTCTCCTGCTTCCTCCATGTTTCTGTCTATTCCTTCTGATGTTTCAGGATAGTCCAAAGTTATCAATCTTCTCCATCTCGTTTTTTTTAAAAAAAAAAAAAATCTTAGAACATAGAATCATAGGCCTGGAAGGGACATTGGAGGTCTTCTAGTCCACTCCTTTGCTCAAGCAGGAAACCCTAGACCATTTCAGACAAATGGCTGTCCAGTCTCTTGTTAAAAACTTCCAGTGTTGATGCTGCTTAGGTGCCTGGAGGCTGTAAGGGTCTGGATATTCTATTCTGTTCTGTTCTGTTCTATTCTCTATCAGCTATTCTATATTCTATTTTATTCTATTCTCTATCATCTATTCTATATTCTATTCTATTCTATTCTGTTCTGTTCTGTTCTATTCTATTCTATTCTATTCTATTCTATTCTATTCTATTCTATTCTATTCTATTCTATTCCATTCCATTCCATTCCGTACGTCTATTTTCTAAGAACCCTCCAAGGAGGGCAAGAAAGCAATTAAACCAGACTCCAAACAAGATATCAATAACTCCATATTTGACTCCCCTCCCCCACTCGCTTGGCTTGCAAAGAAACAAGCAGCATCGTAAATGCAGCCATGCGGTATTGCTGGTCCAACATCTTCAAAGTCTAAAGATCTGAAACTTTGATGTCGTACACGCGGATGGCAGCAAGATTACATCATGCACAAAAATGGAAGGACGCTTCGATCTCCACAATGGACGAACGGCTGCAAAAATCAATGGAGTTAGCAGAGACGGCTAAATTGACTGCTTTGATCAAAGAAAAAAATAAAACACAATCACTTTTGTTTCGACTTGGAAACAGCTTCTGGACTTCGCCCTCGAGGTGGGAAAAAAAAGGAAACTTTGATTTGGGCTTTACCGATGAGATCGTTGTTATCGAAATGGCTAGTTTATACTATTGCGTAAAAATCAAAAGTTGAGGTGTGATATTTCTATCTTACTCTACGGAGATCAATGGCTTTCCTTTTTTTCTTTCCCTCCTTTTCTACACTTTTCTATTCCCTTTTCCCTCAAATTATCTTTTCTGTTGTTTGCTTTTGTACTTTTGCATTTTATATTCAAACTATAAAAAGGACAACCGTAAAGGTACCGGGGGAAAAAATCACCCAGCGATGTGGGGAATGAGGGAATCAAATTCATATGTAGGCTTCAGGGAGATCACCCCAAACACGCTCGTTTTGCAGGTTTAAAGGATAAATTGCACCTTTTTCTTTCTTTAAAAGAACATGTGTACTTCTGTGGCTCTCTAGGTTTTTAAATTTTCATTTTCTAACTCTGCTTTCCTTCCTGTGTGCTGCTCACATCGTTCCTTTGGGTTCCTTTTCTTCCTTACGGGTCCTTCTGCAAAGCAAACTTCAGGACGAGTTTTCCAAACTTTTCTTTTAAAAAAAAAAAAAATAGCTGTGTAATAACTCCAGGCAAACAACAATGCTTTGACTTTTGTGTATAGAGTCAATAGCCTGCATTGGGGCTCCCGCTGCCATTTTCTTCAACGGCATGAAATAAATCTTCAACGATGCTAAAACTGGTCCATAGTTGACCTGAACCCATTTCTTGTAGGCATCTAAGGTGGCTTCAGGTTGAGCAGAAATGGGAATTAAAAAGAATTTCAGAAGCTATCCTGATGGCAGATTTGGGCAATTTGTTACCCTAGGAAACTTTTAATGAGTCATTGGGCAATCTGGGGGCAGAGAGAGAGAGAGAGAGATCCCATATTTAATTGCCTTTTATAGAATGAGAATTGTCTTCTGACACAGGGCCCATCTGATTTTCCAACTGTCTCAGCCCCCACAACTTATCTGATGTCAGAAATGTACATAGGAGATTTTCATGTGCATTTTATAAGCAGATTAATATACACTTGCCTACATAATAATGCAGTTATCTCGCAGTAAAACCCTGAGTGTTAAGACAAATTTATTCTGTGGTGACAGATTTAGGTCAGGCTCCCAAATAGGAATAGACAGATTGATGGGCCCAGCAGAGAGAGGGGGGGGGAGGGAGGGAAAGGGAGAGAGAGGGAGAGAGAGAGAGAGAGGGAGAGAGAGAGAGAGAGAGGGAGAGAGAGAGAGAGAGAGAGAGAGAGAGAGAATCTATTTTATATAAGACTAGGGGAAGTTGAATCAAGAAGATAGTGAACATCTGTATTCCATACTGTTTTATAAATGTAGATGTTTGTATCCAGATAGATCCATCCATAAGTTTGGCAACCACTTCTCTGAAATGGTACAGGGCCTCTTGCTCCAAGGTCCCTTTCAACTTTGTTATTCTATTATAAGTCCATTAATCATAGTTCCTGTGAATAGGTCCATTAAGAGAGTCGCCCACCAACACTTTCATCGTGGGCTGTAACTAGGAAAGGAATAGAATAGAATAGAATAGAATAGAATAGAATAGAATAGAATAGAATAGAATAGAATAGAATAGAATAGAATGGGATTCTTTATTGGCCAAGTGTGATTGGACACACAAGGAGTTTGTCCCTGGTGCATAAGCTTTCAGTGTACACACAACCAACAAATTATGCCATTAGCCTTCTCTTCTGCCCCATCTGTAGAAAGCCTTGTAATACAAACGCCACCAGCCTTTGTGTTTGCATCACCCACTAGAAGTGCACCAAGCCAGCTGACTGCTCTTGGAGGTGATTGTCTCCTTGAAACAAAGATAGTCTTTAGGACCCAGATTGTTGGGGGCAATGTAAATATATATATATATACATTGCTTACCGGTGTACACCGCTTAGAGAGTGCTCGCACTTAAAGCGGTATATAAGTCTCATAAATAAATAAATAAATAAATAAACTGAACCTGGAACATCAAGAATTGCTGGAGGCACACAGCTGTCACTAGACTGGATCTGGAATCATTAGTGAAACTTTGGATAGCATGTCTAAATAGTGTGGGAGTTGTTGTGGCTGTTCCTTCCTCATCTCCATGAACGGGGAGGACTAGGGAGTCCTCCTGGACCCAGAATGTAGAGAAAAGAATCACAGACAGTGTGAGCAGCTTACCTTGTACATGTTTTGGAAAGCAGATATGCATAGAGAAGAGTCTTTCCTGTTCATCATCAATCATCTAGGAGATGTGAGTCACTTGTTTGTGGTTTTGTTGATATGAACAAGCTGACAGATGGACAAGCTGCCCATCTAGTTGAGACCTTGTGAAAATCATGGACATGTAGGACCCATTTGCCAACTGACAACTAGGCTACCATGGGATTTAGCTATCATCTTTATGATTTCCAGGGCATTATTTCCACCCATCATTAAACGTCTAGTTTTCCTCTACAGCACGTTTAACCTGGACTTGTACATCCAAGGGAAGGACATATTCTCTTCTTCAGCAGCCTGGTTAAGCCACTAGTGTGAGTGCTGCTCTTCTTCTCAGCATGGAAATGGAGGAGAAAGGACTCCAATTGCTACAGTCCTCAACTCGCCTCTATAGAATCCAAGGCCCTTCCCAAGGCTTTCATGTAAGAGCTAATTAAAGAACTCCTCTCATTTCCATAGTAACCCCAAGCATGACGCTCAACATCCTTAGCTGCTTTAACATCAACATACTAATAAGATGCAATTCAGTTGGTCCTACACATCACCAGGTAGACAGTAATTGAATCAGAGAGAGAGAGAGAGAGAGAGAGAGAGAGAGAGAGAGAGAGAGAGAGAGAGAGAGAGAGAGAGAATTCACCCCAGTGTGATATGATGCTTAAGATGGTGAGCTAAGGGATGAAAGACCAAGGTTCTCCCTTAACTTCAGCCAGTCATCCTAACCCAGTCTGAGCCCCGGAGAGTCAAAACCCCATAAATCTACCAACTTGCACTGGACCACGATGGAGTTTCTCCATAGTTATTGAGATATCATGTGCGGTTATGGACATCGCTAATGCTGGTTTAACTGTATGTTTGTCATCTATGGACCCTTAACCCATGAATCCAATGAATTTCACTTCCATATATATTTATGATCCTACCATGGAGGTAAGAATAGATCCTCCATTGTTTCAAGCGATAGAAAAATAATCATGGGGATTTGATTGAATTTGGATTATATTTGGACAGCCACTTATATGAAATGGCATAGGGTCTCCTGCTTGAGTAGGGGGCTGGACTAGAAGACCTCCAAGGTCCCTTCCAGCTCTATTCTGAATTAAATTTGTTTCCGTTTCCTTCTATATCCATTTAATCCACATTTTGAGATCTAATCATCAGATTAAATCCATCTGATTTGGACAGTCAATTTGTGCTTTTTTGGGGGGGGGGGAGGCCTTTCTGTGTATGTGAAAAAAAACCCATCCAATTGAGGGACCACTTCAGAAGCCACCAACTCAAGGAGATAACATATACTGCCTCAACTTGATTCAGAAAGTTCAATTCAGTTTGTAATCTCGATGGTACCCTCTCCAAATCAAATCTCCACATTAAGCTAACTCCCAATTTTCTTTCTTTTTAAACAGATTAGGGTCCAGTCTAGAAACCTAATCACAATTTGCCTCCTTCATCTTAGGTTGCAAGGAAAAAAAAAAAGACAAGTTATAGGATGGCAGACAATGATTCAGAATAAATCAAGGGCTCTCACACTTCACAAAAGAAATAATGTTTTATCTTTGGCCATTCCACCCCCACCAGGAGAAATGGCAATTCTTTGTACACGTACACAGAATTTTCTCTCTTCCACACTCTTACCATCTTCTGTTTGGCACCTGCATAGCTGAAATCTTTACAATTACATACACGAGATCTCCAAAGACCATCTTTCCCCTACCCATCTCTGCTGCTTCAACATCCGACGGAGCCACAACCTCACGGAAATTCACATCCTGAGCTCCTTTGTGTGTGTGTGTGTGTGTGTGTGATTAGACGCGCAACAAAACACGGGTGTCTCATTTACATGGCTGCCCAAACCAATTGCTTTTCATTTCCCAGTGAATGAGGACCTCTGCTTCTCTCCCCTCCCTTTTCTTTTGTTTATTAATTACATTTTACATATTTTTTTTTGTACTTTTGTTTAAAATCTTTTTTTCCTCTTTTTTTTTTAAACGTCGGTCGAGTTCCTTTGTTTGTTTATTCGGGGTTTTTTTTGTTTGAGTGTGTCCGTTTACAGCAAAAAAGGATTAGTTTGTATAGATAAGTACATAAAATTGGGGTTAGCAGAGCTTGGCCGTCATCTGATCGGATTGTTTAAGGATCTCCGTGTTGTACAGATCCAGCGCGTGGTTCACCCGGATGATCTCCGTGTTGGTTAGTTTCAGACGGTGTTTGAGCATACAAGAGAAGAGATCCAGCTGGGGCTTTCCAGGGGCTACAGGAGGTGCCAATCTGTTGATTCGGTCCCGTATATCCAACATCAGCAACATGACCGAGGAAGAGGAGTAGAATTGCCCGCCTTGTGTGTAGGACTGGTTGACTTGCTGCACCGCGCTACGCAACAGGTCGGCATTAAAGCGCAAGCTGTATCCAAACACCTGGATGTCTGAAATTTTGATGTAGAACTGGCGCTTGTTGGGATCGGAAAGGTCCACAGGCCCTTGACCAGTCTCGTTACGCATCAAGGAGGGCAACCGAGTCCGGCTGCGTAGGTAGATGTGGACAGTCTCAAAAAACGTTTTCCACCGGTTCCCCAGCAAGAGAGTCCAGTTGTAACACTGGCTGTTCTGCAGACGGATTTTCTCCCAGCGCGGGTAGCCAAACTCTCCAAAGGGCATGTTCCAACCTTCGGAGTGGCTCCCGCTGAAAGGGTTCACGTAGACAAAGAACATGGGGTCCAGGCTGCTGTTGCGCATCTGGCAGATACGCATGGAGATCCCGATGACCATGTGGATGAAGTCCATCCGGTTCTTGTTGCTCTTTAAGGTCAGGGACATGCGCCTGCGCCACCGGGGGTCGAAGAAGGTGTCCAGGCGGATCTCGTTGCTGATGAAAGTCGTGTGGACGTACAAGCGGGAATCCATCTTTTGAAGGAGGTATTTCAGCTCCAGATCCTGGAAGTCTAAATCTGTCTCGAAGCTGATGAATTGCTCGCTGCGCTCAGAGTCCACATTCTGGGGCTCACAGCGGCCGCGAGAGAGACGGTAGCCCTTGTTGCAGGAGCCGCAGAGGGAGATGTTGGCCAAGCTACACATGGCACAGCTGTTGTTGCCGCCAATGATGCACGGGATGGGCCGCTGGCACAGACTGGTGCTCCCATGGCAGACACAGCTCCGTTGGCTCTCTAGGAAGGTCCCCCAGAAGCCATTCTCGTTGCAGTAAAGCAAAGACTGGACTCGGGAGAGCCACTGCTGTATCGTCCTACAGGTGAGAAAGCATAGGCTATAATAGGGCATCTCTTGAAACCTACAAACTTACATCTCTAAGTACTTCTGAGAAAGCTCAATGGCTGGGTTCACCCAAGATCAGTTTCCCCAACTCAACTGCATGATGTCAACGCTGCTAACATCGGATGTTTTTGCTTTGACAACGTATGGAGATGCAACCATTTTCCTTCTTAGGTTTTATTCTTAGAATTAGAATTAGATGATACTGGGGGGGGGGAGGAGGAATGTGCATGGGAGTTTAGTTAGACATAACAATATTGTAACAGTGTGAGAACCAAGGTTTTTTGAAATAAGAGATGATAAGAAATGGCGGTTGGAGAACTGGAGGGAAAGCCTGCATTTCAAAATAATTGGAGAATGTGATTTATGACTGTAAATTAGAGGAGGGAATTGTGCTTTGATACTATGTGCTCAGGGTAGGGGAATTCAGATTTTGGCTTGGTCTATGTACGTGCCGCTGCTATGCTTCTCAAATAAAGATTCTTTAAGGTAAACAATGCCTCGAAGTTCTTTGAAGAGTTTCATCTGTCGGAACCATGACACATGCCTTATAATCAACCAAAAGAGCAACTTTCTGCAAAATCACTGTTATAAGCCTGACCAGTTTCTAACATCACCATCCATGGTCCTACCTACTCTGGATGTCCATTTCCTCACAAAACTACAGATAGTTCCATAAAATTGAAAGATTGACCACCACAGCTGTAGAACATCAACCAGAAGCTTTCCCCTTTGTGGCCTATCATTTATTTAAATGTATCGGCCAATCTACTCCAGTGGACTCTGGTGGAGTTTCAACCATAGGTTGTCCCTTTTTGCCCTAGAACCTAGGCCTGGCTTAACCCTCAAATAAGACCAAGGTCCCTCAAAGTGGCCTCCATTAGAAGGTTCATAAGGATGACTTATCATGGGAGAACATCCATGTGGGAAGGGAGGAAACCAAAGCTCCTTTTAATTTAATCCTCACGCAGTAGCCTCCATATCTAAGTCACTTGATGAGAAGGTGAAATAAGAACCTTCACGTCAAGTTCCATTTTGGGTAATTCCATATAGATCATAGTACCAGATAGTTTTCTTGGATGGCCACTGCCTTCTCCTAAAAGGATTTTTGTGGGGGAACTTCCATTCTTTGATAGTCGCTTTTAAAAAGTATCTATGGCCAGTTAAACTGCTGCGTCAACTTTTCCTTCAGTGCTTCTTCTCTCCCAAGCATTTGTCAAGCATTTGTCTTTTTGCACATTTCTGACCTAAAGGAAGCATCCACACAGATGATTGGTGGGCGTGGAAGTTCCTAGCTCGCTCCTGGTTAACAAAAAAATATGCAAAAACCCCCAGAGCTTTATTCCATGACATACAAAGTACACAAGTGTCTCCAAAGTCTTAGGAGACACTCCTAGGTGAATTGGAGAATTATTTCAAGCTCTTTTAGTTTTTTTAGATTGGCGTCAATCTCTCTCCCTGCCATTTCTCAGTTTTTCATCTGTTAGAGGCAGCTATCGGTACATCCCTGCAAAAACAATGTTTGTTTGGTTTTGGGTTTTTTTTACACATGCAGGCCAATCCCTTCATTGCATGGCTTCCTCCAGTCACTGGCTTTGCCCAAGGCCTTATAAATCATGCAATGCTTCCCATTCAGAAATTGCAAAACCAGGTCAGCAAAAACGAGAAGCGAATCCCCAGTTCGCTCCTTTCCATTTTCCATTCAAGTCACCTCTGGCATTGTTTTTAATTAATGCATTGACTGGGCTTGTTTTGCAAACAAAACTCTAGATGTGCGAGAAGGAGAAAAAAGCAGAAGCAAACAAGAGTGAAAAGAGCTTGGGTTTTTTTTAACTCACGCCTTTCCGAACCATTAAGATTAGCTAAATGCAAGTTTCTCTCTCTCTCTCTCTTTAGCTTTCCGTTCTATTTGCCTTCATTTCCATTAAGGGTAGTTGAGTGTCAGTGTGTTCCTTTAGGCCATAATTTGAATATAGAACATGCCATTTCTATTAGAGCTTTGTGAATGGCACGGGAAAAATCTCACGCTGTTAATTTTACCGCTCTATCTTTTTGCAGTCCGCCCCACATGGTAACTACTACTTTCTCTTGGCCAGAGCATTCAGACGGCCCAAAAAATTGCCTTCGGATGATGCTTCCTTGGATCTAATTGGGTGCAAAGGATATTTGGTAATTTCGATATCTGTCTGTCTGTCTGTCTCTCTGTCTGTCTGCCTGCCTGCCTATCTATCTATCTATCTATCTATCTATCTATCTATCTATCTATCTATCTATCTATCTATCTGCTTATACCTAGGCTGTGTCACTTAGCAGCCACCTTGTTTACGAGAAGAAACTCTGGCCCCAATTGTCATCTTAAGTAGAGGACTACTTGTACTCATACACACCCATACACCAGCTAAAAGCAGAGAGCCGGTACCTTTCCCTAGGCAGCTGGTGGTGAGGATTGTGCCGACAACGGATGCTGAGGCCAAAGAGTTTACGGGAAGTGCGTTGGATCTTCTGCCGTTGAGCCTCCATGGAACTCTGCAAGAGCTTGTAGCGGTTCTGAAGGTCCCAGTCATTCCCCCAGTGCTGATGGATGCTCCCAATGGTCAGGAAATGGTTGTTAGGTAGTTTCTTCATGAAGGACTTGAATTCATCTAGGAATTCCATACACACAAACAAATCTAAATAAACAGAACTCCAAGAGGGGGTCATTTGATGGGAGGACCTGTAGATCATCTTTCTTTCCACTATAGAATGTTGGGCATTCTTGAGGTTTTCAAGGTGAAGTTGGAAAACCATTTGCCTGGGATAGTATAAGAACTCCTGCAGGTTGGACTAGAAGGTCCTTTCCAGCCCTAGTATTCCATGAGAAGGAACCAGAGTTCAACAGCCCCATCCCGTAGAGAAAGTCCAAGGATCAGTTCTCAGGACCTTCAGCTCAAGGAATCACCACAGGTGATGAGAAAGACCTCTTTCTGCTGTCCCAAAGGTGCTTTTCCAACAGGAAACTGGACTTTGTTTTTCCTTGAAGACATTTCACTTCCGATCCAAGAAGCTTCTTCAGTTCCAAGAAACTTCTTCGCTTTTGATCCAAGAAGCTTCTTCAGAACTGAAGAGACTTCCTAACGGTGAAGACAATTAACCGTGGAACAGCTTGCCCTCAGAAGTTTTAGGTGGTTCATCCCTGTAGGTTTTTAAGAAAAAACTGGACAGCCGTCTATCTGAAATGGTCTAGGGTCTCCTGTTTGAGCAAGGGGTTGGAGTAGAAGACCTCCAAGGTCCCTTCCAGTTTTGTTTTGATAGATTGATTGATTGAAGAAGCTTCTTGATGAGAATCGAAATGTCTTCAAAGAAAAACAAAAGTCCAGTTGCCTTTTGAAAAAGCACCTTTGAGACAACCATGACTTGGGGGACGTAGAATCTCCATAGACATCCCAGTTCAAGTAGTTCAATCAAATCTCCAAACTTTCCAAATCAGATTAATTCCTCCTTGAATCAGATGGCATCTTCTGAAGGACTAATTTGATTGGGCGTAAAGCCATTAACTGTCTCATCCCACCAAGACACCCTGGCCTTTCTCCCCAATTACCTGAATTCTCTAGATCTTTGTAGGCCTCTGTCCAGGATTTGCCCATGTTAGCCAACGTGTATTCCATTATCTGGATATCGGTGATGGGACAATTGCACTGTGGGAACTCTTCGGCACATTGGCATCCACACTGGCTGTCTTGGCAGATATATTCGCCTTCTCCATTGCACATGATGTAACTCAGGGCTGACTGCACAAATTTCTCTTGCAAATATTGAGGAAAGATGACCTGGAGACCTACAGGGAAGAGAGAAAGAAGAGAGAAAAGGAAATCAAAATAGGACGAGGAGAGAGAGTCTCCCCTAACTTCTCTAGCAGAGTCACCTGGGCTGGTTTTGCATTTCATGCTTAACCTGTGTTGTGGGAAAGCTGACCTACTTTTGGCGTTTGCACAATCTTATTGAACCATGAAGAATCCCAAGGGGAAGGTTGACCTAACATGCTGAACCTCACATCCAGAAAGCTCTAATCTTAGAATCAGAGACCTGGAAGGGACCAATGAGGGCTTCTAATTGTCGGAATGTATTTCTATGCAACAACTACAGTAGTATTCAGCCAGTAGAGGCAGTATTTACAAGTTTGGATCTATGGTATGTACTCTATGCTCTTTGGTTCGGAGTAGAGTTTCCTGTTTCCTGTTACAGTTAAATAGTTGAGCAGTAAAGCACATGGTGACTGTACCCTTTGTTTGCTCTGTGGTGCTTTATATAAACAGAATTTCTAACACTTGTCCAACCCCCTAATCAAACAGGACTCATTCTTGGACAAATTTGTGAGGTTCTCTATCTGATATTGTGAGAACACAGTCTATAAATTGGCAGACTTTTCATGTCTCCCTCCAGCCGCCATTTTGGTAGTTCTGGTGTCCCAGAAGCGGAACTGAAAATGTATGTTTGCAAGGTCACTCCAAGAAACCAACTTTTCTTGGCTAAGTGGACATCAGTGCTTTGCACAAGTGGCTGGCCACGCAACCGTTCAGCAATCCATGCTTTCTGTTCACGTCGGCAGTTTTCACTGGGCAGCCCGAGGCCCGTTGTGTCTCTGCAGCTGTTTCCTCACATTTGGGAAGCTGAGCTTGTCAAAGCCGATCAGCTTCCCTGGGGTACCCAAGGATGGCGAACGAGGAGCGCAAAAAATCCAGCCTTCCTGCAGATCTTAGAAACATTTGCCTGTGCGTGTCGCTCAGCCAGATGCAGGCCTAAATCTTCAGAGTGGCTGATGAAGCCACTGAAAACCTCACTAATTACTCTTCCATTTGTAGGGCTGAAAAATCCTCCTAATGCCATTTGACAAACCTCAGTGGTGCAGAAAGGAAGAACAAAATAAAAAAAAATGCAAAAATGAGATCATTCAGATCTTATCTGAAGGAGGGAGTTTATCAATAATTGGAAGAAGAATTTAACCATCCAGAGCTGAGCCCCAATTCTTTTTGCTGCACACACTGGCAGGCCTCGATTTTTTTTAAAAAAAAAAACACAAAACAACCTGTAATCTGTTATACAATTTCAATTTGCTGATCAGAACTAGAATGATGCGCTGGCTGTGATTCACTCCTCTCTTCTTCCCTTTCTTAGAATAGAAAAGAAATCTTCCCCTCCTCCACGTTTGGATTCATGACAGTATTGAAGTCTGTAAAATTATTATTCCATCAAAAACTAAACTCTGAGAAGGCCAGATGAGTTTGTTGGCTCTCTTTGGAGATGAGTAGGAATGTAAATGATTTTAAAAAAATTCCTTCTAATTAAAAAAAACCCAACAACTTCCATTTGTAAATGCTTCTAAGGAATCAGAACACCAACCTTTCAAAATCTGTACAACTTCAGAGGCTTTTGCCAAAAAAGAAAAAAAAAGAGAGAGAGAGAGAGAGAGAGAAATCTTATTCCTTGAGCAAGTACGATGGGTGACAAAAGAAATAGAAGCCAAGAAGAATCTGTTCAACAAATAGGATAAATACAGGTAGTTCTAAACTTCCGATCACAATTTTAGGTCGCTAAGTGAGAAATGTGTCGATTGGCTGCACTGAATGACCTTTCTTGCCACAGTTGTGAATCCGTGAATCCATGCAGGGTTTGAGTTAGTAACACAGTTGTTAAACAGAATCTGCTTCCCCCATTTGACTTTGCTTGTCCGAAGGTTGCAAAAGGAGATCACCTGAGCCTGGGACGCTGGAACCGTCGTAACTATGAGTCAGTTGCCATGCGTGTGGATTTCGATCACATGACCACGGGGATGCTATGACGGTCGTTACTGTGAAAAACGGTCACAGTGGGGTTTTTTTCAGGGCCGTTGCGATTGCAAACGGTCACTTAAATGGCTACCCGGAGCTACAGAGCATTAAATACTGATGGGGGAAAAAGTTTGAATGACAGGCGTTTTTCAAGCTCGTAGAAGATGAGAATCAGAAAGAGCGAGCTCACTTCGGAAGATGCAAAGACACACAGCCGAGTCCTTGGTGACAAGTTCCATTTATAGCCTCATCCATGGCAACTTGGAATTAAGGGAGGAAAAAAAGAAATCAAGTCACAGTCTTGACGTGTGTGTGTGTGTGTGTGTGTGTGTGTGTGTGTGTGTGTGTGTTTTGACCTAATTTCCTGCAACCCGATCAATAGAAATGGTATTTGGGACACAGAAGGGAAAAAGGAAGAAGTGGGGAAAGGAGCAGAACCAGCTTCATTTGGAGAACAGAAGGTGAACAATTAAAGGGCACAAATTTATTTTCCAAATATGGATGGCCTACAGGGAAGAGAGACCCATCTTTGGCCATTTCACCGTGTGTGTGAGTGTGTGTGTGTGTGTGTGTGTGTGTATTGGATAATAATAATATAGGCATGCAAAAAGATATATTGGTGGCCCAAAGCTGCCTTCAACCATTTGAAGAAGGCACCCCAATACTTTTTGGTTCCAAGTCTTCTTCAAGGACCCACCTCTTACAAGCAGACTTAAGAGTTGTCACCGACGGAGTCTGGGAAGTTGAGGCTAGCCAGATTTCAAAACTGGGAGAGGAAACTGAGGTCGACTAATCTAATCTCCAGCTCAGTGCAAGAACCCAAATTTGAATCTTCGTGACAGGTTGGCTCCTCTCCTTGAAGTCCGCCAGCAAAGGGGAACATAACATCTTCCTTAGTAACGCATGCCAGCACAAATACTTTTACCACTAGGAATTTGTTCCTAACGTGGAAGAGTTAGTGGTGAAAGGAAACCAGGCTGCCTAAGAATACGGTGGATGGACGCCATCAAAGCTGGCACCAGCCAGAGCATAGAATGATTTCAAAGATGTAGTGCAAGATCGGAAGATATGGAGAGACCTAGCCCAGGGGTAGGCAACCTGGGCTCTTTTATGACTCGTGGACTTCAATTCCCAGAATTCCTGAGCCAGCATAGCATAGCTGGCTCAGGAATTCTGAGAGTTGAAGTCCACGAGTCATAAAAGAGCCAAGGTTGCCTACCCCTGACCTAGCCCAAAGAACCATCAAGAGTCGGACATGATTTAATGGACACCTTCCTTCTCCTTCTTCTCCTCACTCCTCTTCCTCCTCCTTCCACATCTTCTTTTTTCCTTCTTCTTTCTCCTTCATATCTATCTCTTCCTCTTCCTCCTCCTCTTCCTCCTTTATATCTGTCTCCTCCTCCTCCTCCTCCTCCTCCTCCTCTTCCTCCTCCTCCTTTATATCTGTCTCCTCCTCCTCCTCCTCCTCCTCCTCCCATTTAACTGATCCCTACCTTCCTGTAACTTAAGGCCCTTCTTCTCTGCATTAACCCATGTGACTTTCTTCTACTTGATGCCCTTTCTGGTACTTGAAAGATGTTCTCCTGCACCTCTCTCTCTCATATCAGTTGTTCTCAGGACTAAACATATCCAGCTCCCTTTATCTTAGAACCTTAGAATAACAGAATTGGAAGCAACCTTGTAGGTCATCCAGTCCACCCCCCCCTACCGCCCAAGCAGTAGACCCTACACCATTACTGACAGATGGCAGTCCAAAGTTTCCAGTGATGAAGCTGCCACAACTTCTGTAGGCAGTCTGTTCCACTAGTTGATTGTTCTCACTGTCAGAAACTTTCTCCTTATTTCTAATTGTGAATCTCATACACAACTTTAGTTCCTTCTTCTCTGAACCTGCTCCAGTTTGCCTGGATCCTTCTTAAAAAGGGTGACGTTCAGAACTGGAGTCCAGAACTGAAATCAGCCAGCGGTGTGACTGTTGCATCAGTCGGCATCTGTCAAAACTATACAGACAAGAATGATGGAAGGTTCTCAGCTGGAGAGAAGGATAAACAAGTCATCTCATTACCAGTAACCTTTAAAAGTGTGCCTTTTACCTTCTTCATTTTTCTACTCACTCCACCAACTAGAAGGTGCTTCTCAGAATAATTAATGGAAACCTTTGCCTTCCCAGCTGCTGTGTAACTTCCTCATTAGGAACTATTTACAGGGCTGCAGATAATGGATCACAACTTCAGTCTCTTCCGATTGCTTTGACAGCCCCGTGTAAAGCTGTTGCCAGAACTTGTGGTGGCTGTATAATTGTTGCCACATAACTCACCAACATCTATTATTTTCAATCGGAAACTCACTCAGAAGCCGGGAGGAAAGAACAGCCCTACGCACCCTTGTGCACACATCCAACACACGTGATTTTAGTTAAAGGTTGGAATGCAGTCCTTGATTTATGATCACAATTGTGATCAGAATTTCCACTGCCAAGGACGGTGGTTCTTCAGCGAGTTGTGCCCAATTTTGCGACATTTTTCGGCAAGGTTGATAAGTGTGAGTCACTGCAGTCGTTCAGTGAATCGTTGAGCGAGTCCAGCTTCCCCCCCTGACTTTGCTGTCTTAGAATCTGTCTGGGAAGCTTGCAAACCACACTTCCATGACCCAGGACACTGCAAGTGTTGAAAATACATGCCAGTTGCCAAGGATCCAAATTTTTAATCACCTGATTGTGGGGATGCTCCAAGAGTTGTCTTGTATTTGCAAGACTAGTCATTCTTTGGGGAGTGCCATTGTAACTTATCAGTCAATCAATCGGTCAGAATAGAGCTGGAAGGGACCTTGGAGGTCTTCTAGTCCAGCCCCTTGCTCAAACAGGAGATCATATAATCTTTCATACAGGTGGCTGTCCAGTCTCTTCTTAATAACCTCCAGTGATGGAGCATCCACAACTTCTGAAGACAACTTCTGTTCCACTGATTAATTGTCCTCACTGTTAGGAAGCTTCTCCTTAGTTCCAGGTTGCTTCTCTCCTTGGTTAGTTTCCAATCGTTGTTTCTTATCTTGACTTTTGGTGCTTTGGAAAATAAGTTGACCCCCCCCCTTCTTTGGGGCAGCCCCTCAAATACTGGAAGACTGCTATCGTGTCACCCCTAGTCCTTCTTTTCTCTAGACTGGCCATACCCAAATCCTGCAACCGTTCTTCGTATGTTTTAGTCCCCAGGCCTTTAGTCATCTTAGTTGCTCTTCTCTGCACTTTTTCCAAAGTCTCAACATCTTTTTTTTGTAATTTGGTGACCAAAACTGGCTGCAGTATTCCAGGTGTGGCCTTACTAAGAATTTATAAAGCAGTACTAATACTTCCCTTGATTATAATTCTATTCCTCTTGTTTATACAATCAAGGATTGGATTAGCTTCAATTGATCCTTGTGGGTTACCTGAAATCTCTGACTCTTTTTCAGATTGTTTTGCTTTCATAATTCAGAACAAGTTGAGATGTTTGCACTAAAATATTACTTCCATTGTTTCTGATATATTGTCACAGGATGGGGGTTTAACAATGTGCTCGGGAACCCCAGGAAAGCATTAGAGGCAAAACACAGGCAAACAAACACAAATCAAAAAAAGGGTTTCACATGCATAGATCTGACTGCTCAGTGTCCCATAGGGAGATTGTGACTAAATATATCCAGAGGAACATTTGTAAACAGAACATTAAATAAGTAAGACAAAGGATCTCATATGCCATGCTAAATTTCACTCCTTTTTCAGTTAAATAAGAACAGAGCCATGATTTAGAGGCAAGGTTTGGCTGTAAATAAATTAAGATGCGGTCTCTGAGCTTGGTGGTTTTCTTGCAGACGTTTCATTACCCAACTAGGGAACATCATCAGTGCTAGAAGGGAGTGGGGCTTGTTCTCTTTCTGCAAGAAAACAACCAAGCTCAGATTTCAACTCTGAGCCTCAAATATTCTCCTTTATTATAAATAAATTCAAAGCAAAGTACAAGAGCGATGTCCCAAAGGCAACTGGACTTCCTTGAAAATGTTTTGCTTCTCATCCAAGAAGCTTCTTCAGTTCATCAACTGAAGAAGCTTCTTAGATGAGAGGCAAAACGTTTTCAAGGAAAGAAAACCCAAGAAAATCCAGTTGCTTTTGGGAAAAGCATCTTTGGGAGGAGCATGACCTGGGTGATTGAGCATCTCCATAGACATTCAAGAATGAGGCCAGCCAAGGATGAAGCCTCCCGCATCTCACCTGGATACAGTTCCTTGAAACACCTTGCAAAGAAGAGAGATGTTAGAGAGGGGAGACCACATGGTCATCAAAACCAGGCGGTTGAGTCTTTTGTTTCCCTTTCCCCCACCTTACCTTGGAGATGGAGTTTGCTCTCCGTGCTTTGTAGAAGGACAGAACTCACAGAGTCCAGATTGTCATAACTGTTACAGCCCAGAGGACCTGTTCGTGTTTCGGTGACCTGGAGCACATCAAAACAAAACAAAACCATAGGAGCTGCCCCATTGGAAAGAGGGCTGAGCAGCAAGCAAACCACTTCAGTCAAAATGTGGGCAGAATGGAACTAAGATCCCAAGAAGAACAATTAACCAGTGGGATAACCTGCCTCCAGAAGTGGTGGATGCTCCAACACTGGAAGTTTTTAAGAAGAGACTGGACAGCCATTTGTCTGAAAGGGTATAGGGTTTCCTGTCTTCCTGCCTTCTGCCTTCTATCTTATCCTATCCCATCCCATCCCATCCCATCTCATCCTATCCTATTCATTGCATTCTGCATTCTGCATTCTGCATTCTATTCTATTCTATTCTATTCTATTCTATTCTATTCTATTCTATTCTATTCTCTCTCTGTCTGTCTCTGTCTGTCTTTGTCTGCCTCTCTGTCTCTCTCTGTCTCTCTCTTTCTGTTTGTCTCTCTCTCTGTGTGTGTGTCTCTCTCTGTATTTTGTGCTAGTTTTGCTGAGAAACACTGAAATTGTGGCCAGGCTTCTAACCACCATCATGCTGTTTTCGAGACAGTTGGGAAAGATATATTCTGAGTGGAATAACTTCTATTTCCCTTGGCAGAGCCTGATGGCGAGCAGATCAAAGGGACGTGTCTATTTTCCCACCTTGCACATCAACCGTCGAAATGCACCTGACTCTCCTCTTCCCAAACTTCAGTTGCTTTCAGCACATGTCTCTGGCACCTTCAAGCACTCAGAAATAAAATAAAAAAAAACCTGATCTCTGATAGGATGGCAAAGGCCAAACCTTTATGGAACTGTCTCCCAGCCACTGTTTTGTAGGTCAATTGCTAAGAAGCTCCAAATACTCTCCCTTTCTTTTTTTGCCGAGGCCACTAGATTGCTTTCAAGCTCTCCAAAGGACCTTTGCCCCAGCCATTATCCCATCCTGTGAGCTGTGTCACGCAGCACTTTTGAGGTTTTTGTCTAGGCGCATGGCGCTTTCCGTTCACTCACACACCAAAAAGCCATTTATCTGACTTCCGAGCAGGTCTGCAGGAGAAAAGGATGGTCAAGAACGAGAGGTGTCTTTCAGCATTGCTTCTCTTGAGACACACTGATTGGCTAGCTGCTCCTGCAGTTATCCCAAAGGCAACTGGACTTTGTTTTTCCCTGAAGACGTTTCGCTTCTCATCCCAGAAGCTTCTCCAGTTCTGACTTCAGAATTTCAGTCAGAACTGAAGAAGCGTCTGGGACAATGGATTTCCTGAAAACACGGCAGACTACAGGAACCCTTTGCGCTTCCATCTGAGACGCAGACAACACAGACTCTTCCCCAACAGCCTGTGCCTGTCTCCAACAGAGAAGAGACACAGGACAGAAGACATCCTGCAGCCAAGAGGGCTCCACACCCATTTGCACCACTCAGGTGACCCTTGAAATGGCTTCAACGGCTCTCTAAAAGAATGTAAAGGACCAGTTGTCTGCAAGGAGTATAAATCCTTCCATTCCCCACCATCCAGTCAGAGCTGAAGAAGCTTCTTGGGTGAGAAGCGAAATGTCTTCAAAGAAAAACAAGAAAGTTCAGTTGCCTCTTGAAAAAAGCACCTTTGGGACAACCATGATCTGGATGATGGAGAACCTACACAGACATTCAGCTATGCACTTGGGGATGATCACCTTTTGAATTATGCAGGAGTGTGAACAGATTTCCAGAAAACGTTGCAGACTACAAGACCCGTTTGCGCTTCAGTTTGAGATGCAGACAACCCAGACTCATCCCCAACAGCCTGCGCCCGTCTCCAACAAGGAAGGGACCCAGGGCAGAAGACATCCTGCAGCCAAGAAGGCTCCACACCCATTTGCACCATTCAGGCGACCCTGAGGACACAGGTAAAACCTCCAAGTGGCCTCCACAACTCTCTAAAAGAAGACAAATGACCAGCAATCTGCAAGGAGTATAAATCCTTCCATTCCCCACCATCCAATCAGAGCTGAAGAAGCTTCTTGGATGAGAAGTGAAAGGTCTTCAAAGACAAACGAAAAAGTCAAGTTTCCTTGTGAAAAAGCACCTTTGGGTACGATCTGGATGACTGAGAATCTCCACAGACATGTTCCTGCAGTTCTTTTCCACCCCTTCCTTGTCTCCCTACTCAATTTCCCATCTCCCAAAGATTTGGGGATTTTGCTGTCTATCCTCCGACATTTCTCAGATGGGATTAGGAACAGCTAGCCCAGCAATCTGTACCTCCTCCCTCCCAACTGAATGAAAATTGAACCATTTTTAGAAACAAGTCAAGAAATGCTCTTAAAATGGTCGCTACTTGTGAGCTTTCCAAATTCATCAAAATATGAGATCATTGCAGAATCAGGGAATCTGGGATTCACAATATTTCGGATGGGGGAGGGGAATGAAACACTGGCCAAGTTCTAGATGAGAAGATCAACATCCAACTTGGACACCATCAGGCCCACCTCCCCCCCCAAAAAAATATCCAGGATATGTACAGTTAAGACTGGTTAGAAGGTCCACCAGAACATCTAGACTTCATGTAGATGTTGGGGGGAGGAGAGGAGAAAATAGGTACTGACATCGAGGTGGTGGGAGCAAGATTTGGGGGGAAAAAAGAAAGAAAAGAAAAAAAGAAAAGGAGAATCACCTTTTCCAGGAACTGGTTTTCCCCACATCCATTTTACTCAAACCAAACTAACTGTGTGTTGTAAACCAAGTTCTACCTTGATTGCTCCTGTGGAGATCTGAATCTCATGAAGACGTCTCATGGTTCCATCCCGGTCCACAAAATACGAAGAGGCAAGCTGGTGAAGGGACTCAACACTTTGGCTGGCATTGCCCGATTTCCGGTCAAGTCGGTTTTTGTCCATATACATGGTCAATGCTTCCTCTCCTAGTGAAGCATCAAAAAGATGAAGAAGGAGGTGAAAAGGGAAGGGAAGAGAAGGGAAGGGAGGAAGAAAGGAAAGAAGGGAGGGAGGGAGGGAGGAAGGAAGGAAGGAAGAAGGAAAAAAGAGAGAAGGAAAGAAAAAAAGGAAGGATAAGAGGAGATCAGAGTCAAATTACTGCTGCTGCCAACAGATGAAAACAAATATACAGTTTGTGTTTTGATTTGAGTTGCAGCCATTTTACACCTGATCAATCAACGGCATTTCAAGGCACGCCAACAGGAGCTTTACTTTCCCAAGCAGAAGACATCAAGGCTGATGTATCTTCTATGCCAGATTGATGATTATTGCCTTGAAAAGCCCTCAAATTCATCCGTCATTCAGAACCAAGCTAACAAGCACCGCTAAATCGAAAAATTAGGCCAAGAGCCCTAATATCTTGGCGCACGTCCCGTTCCATTCTCCATCCTTAATGTCTTGCACCTCTTCACCATGAAACAAATCCACAAAATGAAGAAATAAAGGGTGGCGAACAAGCACGTGAGCATTAAAAGCAATCTTCTTTAAAGGGGGAATAATATGACATTTCCCACACAAAAGACACTGACTATATTTTTCAGGATTCATTTGGATCAGATTCAACGAGGGCCAATTAGGGTGTTTCAGCCAGTGCCAAAAACGTGGGGGGGAAGCTTCTGTTGGTCTAACACTCTGGCCATTAGGGAATAATTAATTTTGTGCTTCTGACACAGAACGGCAATCGCAACCTAGTAACCGCAGAAGAGAGGGCTTCCCCCCCCCTAAAATATTTGCAGAAGTAGGACAATCAATAGATATACTGAGAGGGAAGAGAAGAGAAGAGAAGAGAAGAGAAGAGAAGGACAGAGGGAGGGATGGACCGATGGATGGACAGATGGAGGGAGAGAGGAGAGAAGAGAAGAGAAGAGAAGAGAAGAGAAGAGAAGAGAAGAGAAGAGAAGGGAGGGACAGAGGGAGGGGGGATGGACAGATGATGGAGGGAGGGAGGACAAAAGAAGAGAGGAGAGGAGGGAAGGGAAGAGAAGAAAAGAGAGAGAGAGAAAGAGAGAAACTGCTCTATTTCTGCAAATGTATTTCTCTCTCTCTCTCTCTCTCTCTCTCTCTCTCTCTCTCTCTCTCTCTCTCTCTCTCTCTCTCTCTCTGCGTGTGTGTGTGTGTGTTTGTAGATACACCAAAGACACACACACACACACCCTAGGACATGGCTACAGCTCCAGAATGAACTGTGCAAATGAGAAAGTTAAACAGTGGGGAGAAACTAGGTGTTAAAACGGGGTGTGTGTTTCCAACACCCAAACAATTTGAGTCGAGTGAGCAAAACATTGCCCGGGAATGAAAGGCAGCCACAGCAATCAACAAGGGTTAATAGATTTTTCGCTGCATTATTAAGTCCTAATTTCTCATTTATTAAAACATTCAAAGTCATCTTGCGTTCGGGGTATTCCATGCAAATTGTCTCTTCGCGATGCTTCTCCAACCTCTGGAATTAGGAGGAGGAACCGCCCCGGATTGGATCTTTAGATAGTAATTAAGAACGGAGAGCCCTTTTGGTGGCTGGGGGAGGACAGGTGGACGTAAAGGATTGGATGAAACCGAGACACAAAACGAAGTAGGCTTCCCTACCCTACTGCCATTTCAAGGCATCCTGTTTTAAGGCCCCCTCCACCATTATTAAACCCACTTCCATTAGAGGCAAGCAACAGCTTTGCAGAGCCTTCCCACTAGCTGCTATTTATATAGGAGAAACAGTTGGAGGTACACGGTAGGGAAAAATCACACAAGGCCTGAGAAGAAGGCATTTCAGAATTTAGAAATCTTGGCTGGGAACATCAAAATGGAGCCGAGGCAGGGCAGGAGAAAGAGAGAGAGAGAGAGAGAGAGAGAGAGAGACTATAGACATAGATAGATGATAGAGATAGATAGATACAAAGAAAGAAAGAAAGAAAGAAAGAAAGAAAGAAAGAAAGAAAGAAAGAAAGAAAGAAAGAAAGAAAGAAAGAATCAGAATATCAGAGTTGGAAGGGACCTTGTAAGTCATCTAGTCCAACCCCACCCAAGCAGGAGACCCTATACCATTTCTGACAGATGGCAGTCCAGTCTCTTCTTGAATGCTTCCAGTGATGAAACTCCCACAACATTTGAAGCCAAACTGTTCCACTGGTTGGTAGGTAGGTAGGTAGGTAGATAGACAGACAGACAGACAGACAAACAGATAGACAGAGACAGACAGACAGACATTGGGGAGAGAGAGATGACAGAGAGATATATATTGTAGATAGATAGATAGATAGATAGATAGATAGATAGATAGATAGATAGATAGATAGATAGATAGATAGATAGATAGATAGATAGATGGATAGAGACAAAGAAGGAGAGGGAGAAGGGAGAAGGAAGAAGGGAGGGCTGGCTTGGTGTGATGCTACCACCACAGACATACATGTCTTCTTTCCTGCTTCCAATAAAGCATCTTAAATAGCTTTGTCGTTTCTGTGAAGCTCCTGCTATAAACAAGTTGCCAAATGCCTACCGGCTTGAGCGTCTGATGCACTGAGAATTATCATCATGCTTTGTCTGAATTCCAGCAAATCGTCCTCTGGGGTGTACTAGGATCTCACCGGTGCTGAGCAAACACCCAACGATTTCCAGATTGGTTGGAAGGCACTCTCCCCCTTTTATTTTTGTGCTTAATTTTAAGGAGCCGTTGCAAGTCTCTCCTCGACTGATCAGCTGAGCCTCTGAGGCGGCCTTCTGGGGCCCCGTGACGCAGGAAAATACTCTCATTCATGAACAATATATGCTCTTGGGGAGCGTCTTCCACTTTTACTGCTGTCAAGATAAATTTTTCTTCCTGCATTATTCTCCTGGCAGCTTTCCCTCCTGCATCGGCGTTGCTAACTCTCCCTTTCCACGCTTGTGGGTGTTTTAAAGCGGAGCGTTGCAAACGCAGGAGCGCAAAGGCAAAGCACATGGTGAATAATTCACCAGCGGACCCTGGCAAAATTAAAAAATATATTTCATCGTCCAAAGGTCTGGGTTAGCTGGAAAGGCAAGGGACAACCTGCCCAGGTGGTGGGAACGAATGAGAAGGAAGAAAATGAAATCTTGATCTTTTCAATGCTTCCTCGGTGCCGGCTTGTTCAAAACGATGCCTCATTCGGTGGATTTAACTCACAGCTAAGCAGGTACACAACTGCAACCTTAATAAGTAAAAATGCGCAAAGAGTTGTGGAATTGTCAGCCCTCCCAAAAGAACAACAAAACAAGATGCCTTGTTCCTCATTTATCTTGCCAAAACTAAAGCAACTATTGAGGAGTCCTTGGTGCTGTCTGAGCTTGGTCATTTTCTTGTAGATGACTCATCAGCCAACTAGGGAACATTGTCAGTGCTGGGGGAGGTTGTGGAGAGGAGGAGGAGGAGGAGGAGGAGGAGGAGGAGGAGGAGGAGGAGGAGGAGGAGGAGGAGATGATCTGTGGGGTCCTTGGTGCTCTCTGAGCTTGGTTGTTTTCTTGCAGATGTTTCATAACCCAACTAGATAACGTCATCAGTGCTACTAGCATTAGTACTACTCCTCATTTGAACCCTGCACTAAAAATGTTATATTTTATTGGTAAAGTATCTTTTGCAGTTTAAAAGATATACTATGAGAATTGCTAGGAGGGAGCCTCCTTAATTCTCTTCCTCTCAACCAAAGTATCTAAATTTTGCTGTCTCTTGGTCCTCTGGAATGTAGCCCCTCCCATCTGAGAATCCAGACCACATTCCACCACAATTTTTAAACTTCAAGAACGATTAAAAAAAAAATATTTCCGTGTCTCCACTTTGGAAATGGACGCCCGTTTCATTCCTATGATGACTTCTAAATCACATATTAAAAAGTGCCCTCCAGGGAGATTTCCTCCATTTCCAGCCTATTTTTAAAGGCATTACTTTTTGTCTCAGACTAATAACACATAAGGGTCGAACCAAACCTGATGGGCCAAGCCAAGCCACACGCTCCGAGAAAAATGAAAATCAGCATTAATCCGTAGACGGCGACAGCTAAGATGCATGAACTTCCAGCAACATTCGAGACCGCAAAAAAAAAAACAAAAAAAAATTGCTGAACTTTGTGTTGTTCTCACAACAGCCCTCGAGGGATTAAAACATCTCGTCCAAAATAACCTGGAGGCTTTGTGATCTATGAACCAAAGCCTGGGTCTTGTTATTCCAAGGAAAAACCTATTTCCCAAACCAGTTCAAAGACATTACTGACCCTTTTTCAATTAGCTTCTCCCAGTCTACCCCGCTCAGACCATTTTTCAACCAGCAGTGTGTAACCAAAAAACCAGACCAGATCTTTGAATAATGTGCTGTGGGGTATACTTCAAAAAAAAGTGGGGGGAGAGCAGACCAGGTCAAGAAACTAACAAGGTACGTTTCTAAGGAAAAGTAGTTCATTTAGAAAATTAATTAAAACCAAAAAGCCATCACCTTCCCTGTTTTGAAGATATTTCCTTAACAGATTCTTCAGTCCCTGCAAAACGATAGCTGAGCTTTTAAGATACTGGAGAAAGATTTTTCAAGAAAAAAAAAAATTCAAGGAGGTATCCAGAGATGTATCTGTCTTGAAAGCAGCTCCTGTTGAGTTAAGTTATGATGCAAGCATGACTTGTGATTCTACAACCACAGTTAGGATCACCAACTCCCTTGCTAAGCAAGATACAACAAGAGCGTGACTTGTGATTCTGCAGCTAGTGACACTATTCAGCACCATCGTAACACTGGACAGTTACTTAAACAGGGCATTTTGGCCTCTATAATAGTGGCCAGAATTGTGGAAACTTTTTGGGAAAAGTGTACAGTAGAAATGCCACCTTTAGTTAAGTTTCCACCCATTTTTTTCTTCTGATTTCTTTATAACTGTAGCCTTGTTCACTTAATAATACTATTTTACATCGCTTTCTGGGTGACCAGTCAACTCTTTGCACCATGACTTTAATTTTATTACGTTTTACAAGCTCACTCAATGAAAGAACACCCCCCCCCCAAAAAAAAAACCCAACCAACTTGATAGCCATCACATAACACACTGACAAACGTCCTCCTCTCAGCTTCAATACACGACATCAATAACTGAACCCTACTGTGATCTGATTGGCTCATGGCCAAAACAAGATGACACCTGATAGGCTCTCTAAACACTCATGCTCATTGGCTACAATCAGATGAAGGAAAGCTACCTGATATCAACCTAAGCAAGTTATGCTTCCTTTTTCTGGTTCTTTGGCTATAACTTTTCATAGAATACAGTACAGATAATTGAACAAACTTTGTTGCATTACATTCTTGATTAAATTGTCTTTCCATTGATATATAATTTTATGTTACTACTCAAAAGAAAGTGGTGTTATTAGCCATCAAACCTCAAAAATACACTTTTTCCCCAAAGGTTTCCGCAATTTTGGCCACTACTGTATTTCTATCGGAGATGTCAAGCTGAACCCCAATCAAAAAGTCATCCATACCTCTTCCTGTCACTCCCATGTCCAAGACCTGAAACAGGACCAGAGGCCACCACCACTTACCTCCTAAAGTGGCAGAGATGAGGATGTGGGTGCCGTATTTTTTGATGATGGTGTCGATGAACTGCTGTGTTGTGGGTCTCCTGCCCAGCAGGCGTATGCTTCTCTGAAACTCAGGCATCAACGGGACGGGGTTCCGGAGTAGATCCCTCCGTTCAATGGCCGTATTCCTCACCTTCCAACGGGCAAACTCCCTGAGCAATGAGACAGCAACACAAAACACGGGTGAGGCTCTGAATCTGGGAGGGTCGACGAGAAGAGGGTCAGGAGGGAAGTTGTGTGTCAGAGGGAACACCACAAAAATCTTCCTGCCAGATGTTCCGAACTTCCATTTATGGGCTTTTTATGGGAAAAAAAGATGAAAAGAGAGAAGGATGGGAGAAACAGAAAGGAAAAGGAGGAGATGGAAAGAGGTTATATCAACAGAAGGACAAGATCTGACATAAATAAGAGGGAACACCCCACATGACGTTCACGCTAATAACATCCCTGCAAAACCAATCCCCTGTATTTCATCAAGTCCCAAGAAAATTATCAAATTGATCAAACGAGGTCCACTCTTTTCCCCAAATTTAATGAACTTCCACAGAAAAAAGAGAAGAATGGCTGGAATTTTTTTCCCCAACAATTTTTTTCACTTGGTTAGAAATCTCCTGACTGCTTCAAAGACTGTCCACCTTATATAATAATAATAATAATAATAATAATAATAATAATAATAATAATAATAATAATAATAACAACAACAACAACAACAACAACAACAACAACAACAACAGTAATATTAATAAAGTTGGAAGGGACCTTGGAGGCCATCTAGTCCAACCCCCTGCTCAGGCAAGAAACTCTTTACCATTTTGGACAAATGGCTGTCCAGTCTTTTCTTAAAAACTTCCCGTGTTGGAGCATTCATCACTCCTGGAGGCAGGTTGTTCCACTGGTTAACTGTTCTGACTGTCAGGAAAGTTCCAGGTTACTTCTCTCCTTGATCAGTTTCCATCCATTGCTTCTTGTCCTGCCTTCAGGTACTTTGGAGAATAGCTTGACTCCCTCTTCTTTGCGGCAGCCCCTGAGATATTGGAACACTGCTATCATGTCCCCCCCGGTCCTTCTCTTCATTAAACTAGACATACCCAATTCCAGCAGCCGTTCCTTATATGCTTGAGCCTCCAGTCCTCTAATCATCGTTGTTGTTCTTCTCTGTCCTCTATTTCTAGAGTCTCAACATCTTTTTTACATTTTACAATAAACTTGAGACATGGGAAGTTGAATTATATATCTCCGGTTTCCAAGATTCTGTAACTTAACCCCTTTTTGGCTGTCAACAAACCTAGCTAACAAGGCAGCGTGAATCTAAGCTTCTGGTGTGGAGCAGCTGCTAGAGGGTTGCTACAAATGTTCTTCCTCTCTGGAGGAAGAAACTGTTTCCTGTTCCTCTTTGAACCTCATTCCCAGGGGACAAAATTCAAATTTATTTTATCAGAGCTTTCAAGCTCTCGCTTTATTCCCTGGAAGATTGCAGGAGGATGTGTGTGTGTGTGTGTGTGTGTGTGTGTGTGTTTCTCCTTTGCTTTTTGAGCTCTTCCCCACCCTGTCATCCAACTGCCTCCACTTTCCAGTTGGGAAGAAGAGATTGCTGAGGTTATCTCCCCCCCACACACACTCCTCCTGCAGATGAACTGGGAGACTCGGTAGCCAACAAAGCTGCAGAATATTGGAGAAAAGGTTGAATGAAGGTCAAGTAGCTCATCCCTCCACACTTACTCAGCCATTTCCACCCCCTAAAAAAAAAAATGCTTTCTGGATAGCAAATTCTTTTCCATCAGATCAAAAGAAAAAGAGCCAGAGGGGAAAAAAACACACACGCAGAAAGTCATTTTGATGTGATTCTAGTACCAAGCCACGGGGGAAACGTTTGGCATCCCTAGGAAAAAGGAAATTGTCCTGCTTTTGAAATAGAGCAAAAGGCGATAAATCTCTATTTCACCCAAAGGCAGACTTGACTAATGAGCGCAAGGCAGGAGGAAATACAGATTATTTCCCTCCCCCCCCCCGCAAAAAAAAAAATAAAGGAAGGAGTCACCCGGAGGCCATCTGGATGCTTGTTAGCACTGGGCAGGACAGTGGGAAACTGCTGAGAAGATTCAAAGCACGGGGCAAGGAATCCGTAAGGGAGACCTTTTGGGTATTGATCTGCTTCTGACCATCCTCTCCAACTCAAAGGTGCTTATTCAGGAGGCCACTGGACCATCTTATTTTTCTTTGAAAACATTTCACTTCTCCTCCAAGAAGCTTCTTCAGCTCTGACTGGATGGTGGGTGAATGGAAGGATTTATGAAGAAAAACAAAGAAGTCCAGTTGCCCCTTGATAAAGCACCTTTGGGACAGCCATGACCTGGATGATGGAGAACCTCCATAGACATCTTCTCCAAACCACACGGAAGCCAGAGAGGAGAAGGGAACAAGCTTAGGAAAGGAATAGAAAAGAACATCTGCTTTTTTATTTCCCAAAAGGCAACTGGGCTTCGTTTTTCCTTGAAGATTTTTCGCTTCTCCTCCCAGAAGCTCCTTCAGTTCTTTTTCAGTTCAGTTCAGAATTGAAGAAGGTTCTTGAAGGAGAAGCGAAACGTCTTCAACGAAAAACAAAGTCCGGTTGCCTTTTGGGGGGAAAAAATAAGCATCTTTGGGACAATCATAACCTGGATGACTGAGAATCTCCACAGACAAGAGAACAGAATATGCAAGCCAAAAACTTCAGCCAGGTGCTCACCACCAACAAAGCCCTCTGGCACGCTCTGATGTTTTTCAGTTGTCCTTTCTCCTTCTTCTGGCTTATTACTCAAGGTCTCCCAAGGGACACCATCTGCTCCATGCCACCTACCAGCTGATCTGTCAGCTGGTGCCCTGTTCCCGCACGGGCTTGCGTCAACGTTTTTCTGTTCCCAGCTTCACTCCTTAGCTGCTGGGTCAGCTTCGGATCTGCTGCACTGAACATCGTCAATGGGGTGGGGTGGACTGGTTCAAATTGGTCTACAGAAGTCACCAGTAAAGACTATTTGTAGCCCAGAGTTGAAATGAGGGGTCCTTGATGGTCTCTGAATTTAGTAAGGAATCCTAATTAGCACTGATGATGTTACCTATTTTGGGTAATGCAACATCTGCAAGAAAAAAACCAAGCTCAGAGAGCACCAAAGACCCAACAGTAATCATTGTCCTCCTCTCCTTCTCCTTCTTCTTCCTCCTCCTCCTCCTCTTTGTAATCCCCATTCCCATTTAGCACTGACGATGTTACCTAGTTGGGTAATGAAACATCTGCAAGAAAATAACCAAGCTCAGAGAGCACTAAGGACCCCTCTACAGAAGTCATATCAGCAAGAAGGTGAAGAGGAATAAAGGCCCCCTTTTAAGGCGATGAAGACCACATTCAACCTTGTCTTCATCTCCCCTCCCTTTTTCCAGGTGGATCAGAAGGAAATGGCTTGCAATTAACTCTTGGCAGAAGAAACAGTTGGAGAAATGGTGGAATTCCCACAGGAGGAAGTGTGTGGGTTTCTTGCACTTTGCACGGGCTTTGGGGACTACTTCCTTGACTGCACACACTTTCATTCAGACGGCATCAACCAAGAAAGTTGCATAGCGATAATCAATCAGAATAGAGCTGGAAGGGACCTTGGGGGTCTTCTAGTCAACCCCCTGCTCAAGCAGGAGACCCTATACCACGTCCAGTCTCTTCTTTAAAAACCTCTGGAGATGAAGCACCCATAACTTCTAAAGGCAAAGCTGTTCCACTGCTTAATTGTCCTCACTGTTAGGAAGTTTCTCCTTAATTCCAGATTGCTTCTCTCCTTGATTAGTTTCCATCCATTGAAAGGAAGAGACCAATAACCATTTATTCAAGTGATAAAAATCAATGGTTCTTAGTTGTGACAACCAAGCTCAGAGAGCATCAAGGACCCCTCATTTCAAACTTGAGCTACAGATATTCTCCTTTATTGATAAAAATCAGCTCCACGTCTAAATGAAAAATCCTCGAGATGAGGCAGAGGGACAAAAGCCTTTTTCACAGGAGAAGAAGACTTCAGAAAGTTTAAAAGTTTAAAAACCTTGACTAGCAGCTCTTTCTCTATTTCAACGTTTTGTTGAATATCCTTTTTTTTTTTTTTCACCTCTTAGCTGACAGGCATTTAACTCTGTTCAGAGCTGCCTACAGAAGATCCTTCAAGATTCAAATGGCAGCGACATTACCCCAAACTAGTCATGCACAAGAAAGAAAAACAAAAAAACCTGTCTATTTTGGAATCAGTGGCAGATTCTGCACAGTTTCAAAATGTTGAGCGGAAGCATTTGATTTCTGTTGAGTAATGGAAAGCCACCTTGTCTCTCGGAGAAGAACAGAGTAAAGAACCCCCTACAGCAAGATAATAAAATAAACAATAAACAAATATGTTGCCATCAATGTGCAGCTGTCTATTCTGACATGTTGAGAAGCTCAAAACCCAGTTCTACTGCGGAGGCACTTCTCAAAGAGCTATGCTTAACCGCGCATAAGACACAAGGGAAGTAAACGGGCGAGAGATAAAATTTTAAGAGGAGCTGTGATGGCACAAGTATTAACGGTGATGCTTAGGATGTAAAGTCCATGCAGAGGTTTGCTTCCATTTTGCTTCTATCAACTAAAATACCTGAAGAGGAGGAAGAGAAGAAGGAGAAGGAGAAGAAGAAGAAGAAGAAGAAGAAGAAGGAGGAGGAGGAGGAGGAGGAGGAGGAGGAGGAGGAGGAGGAGGAGGAGGAGGAGGAGGAGGAGGAGGACGACGACGACTAGGGAGTCCTTCATGTTCACTGAGCTTGATTGTTTTCTTGCAGATGTTTCATTACCCAAGTAGATAACATCATCACTGCTGGAGGAGGAGGAGGAAGAGGACTATGGATTCTTGATGCTCTGTGAGCTGGGTGGTTTTCTTGCAGATGTTTCATTACCCAACTAGCTAACATCATCAGTGCTAGAAAGGTGTGAGATTTGCAAAGAAAAGGAGAAGGAGGAGGAGGAGACTGAGACCATCAGGGGGTTCCTCATCAGTGTTAATTATCATGATTTATCCTTATTACTCAGGGACAAAGAATGCAAGCGAAATAACAGACTTTGGGGAAATGCTGACTGAGCAATAACGTTGCCAAAGAGGAGAGATTTGATGTG